CTTTGAAACTTGCTACGCTTAATGTCAGATCTCTTTGTAACAAGTCTTTTTTAATCAATAATTTTATTTGTTCTCATAATCTTGATCTTATGTTCATGGCTGAAACTTGGCTTGACCAAAATTCAGGAAATGCAGTTTTAATAGAAGCATCACCACCAAATTTCAAGTTTGAATCTGAAATACGGGAAAACAAAAAAGGAGGAGGCTTAGCTGCCTTTTTCAGAGACCACTTTGTCTCCCATAGAATGTCCCTTGGGAAGTTTTCGTCTTTTGAATATGTGTCTTTTAAAATACAACAAAAACAATCTCCTCCAATACTTTTCGTTGTCCTATACAAGCCACCGCAGTCATGTCACAGTTTTATTGATAATTTTACCGAGTTGCTTTCAGTTGTATGCACAGATTTTGATAGTTTGGTTATTACAGGTGATTTTAATATTCATGTGGATAATGTTGATGACAGAAATGCAAATGAGCTGAGTTCTGTACTTGAATCCTTTGATCTCACTCAGCACGTAAGTGGCCCCACCCACAGCAGAGGGCACACTCTAGATCTGTTAGTTACTAAGGGGGTGAATATTTCAAATGTAAACGTGGTCGATGTTGCTCTTTCGGATCATTTCTGTGTTTTTTTTGACATGTGTTTCACTAACAAACCACCAGTGGACTCTGCAACTGTACGAAGAAGACACATAAATGAAAATACGAGTGAACTATTTATGGGAATGATAAACTTTGAGAATGCATCGTATTCTACTGTAGATGAACTGTTTAACTCTGTCACCTCTAGTGTTTTGAATGTTCTGGATACCGTTGCCCCTGTGAAGGTTAAAATAGTGAAAAATAAGCAGAAGGCGCCGTGGGCTAAAGCAGACTCGGTCAGGGCACAAAAGAGAAAGTGCCGGAGGGCCGAGCGGAAGTGGCGCAAGTCCAACCTCCAGGTTGATTACGAGATCTTCAAAGATAAGTTGTGCGAGTTTAACCGGGTGCTACGTAGTACGAGAGAAAGGTATTTTTCTGAAATGATTGAAGGCTGCAGCAACAATCTGCGTGTTCTGTTTTCAACAGTTAATAGATTAACAAACCCCCCTGTTCAAATGCCATTAGAGCTTACTTCCAAACGTAAATGCAATGAGTTTGCTAATTTTTTCAATGACAAGGTTCAAGGCATCAAAAACGCCATTGTCTCCAATCCACAGATAACCATCCAACAGCCAGAAAGGCTCTCTGAGCTAACTCACTTTGCACCTGTAAATGATAAAACTGTCCAAGATATGTTTCAGTCCGGCTTTAGACCCCACCACAGCACTGAGACTGCTCTCGTCAAGGTTACAAACGATATCCGGCTGAACACTGACGCAGGCAAAGTCTCAATCTTAATCTTGTTAGATCTAAGTGCTGCCTTTGACACCGTCGACCATGAGATCCTCTTACAGAGATTAGAGGACTGGGTTGGAGTCGCTGGCACCGCCCTAAGTTGGTTTAGGTCTTACCTTGAGGACAGGAAGTACTTTGTGGAGATTGGAAACTGTGTCTCAGATCATATGGCCCTGACCTGTGGAGTCCCACAGGGGTCGATCCTGGGACCTCTTCTGTTCAATCTCTACATGCTGCCGTTAGGTCAGTTAATACGCAGAAACAAAGTTTCCTATCATAACTATGCAGACGACACTCAGATCTATGTCTCACTGACTGCAGGAGAACATGGACCAGTGGACTCACTCCTTCACTGTATCCAACAGATCAGTGAGTGGATGCAAAACAACTTCCTTCAGCTAAACGCAGACAAAACTGAAATGATTGTCTTTGGTCCCCAGAAACAAAGAGAGAGCGTCATCTGTCACCTACAGTCTCTCTCCCTAAAACCTTCAAACAAGGTCAGAAATCTAGGGGTAATACTGGACTCAGACTTAAATTTTAATAGCCACATCAAATCAGTAACATCAGCAGCTTTTTACCATCTAAAAAAACATTGCCAGGATCAAAAACATAGTGTCTAAAGCAGACTTGGAGATTCTTATCCATGCATTTGTCTCCAGTAGGTTAGACTACTGCAATGGCCTGCTCACAGGTCTGTCCAAACAGGCTGTTAAAACAGCTGCAGTACATTCAAAATGCAGCAGCTCGAGTCCTGACTAGAACCAGGAAGTACGACCATATTAGTCCGGTCCTCAGGTCTCTGCACTGGCTTCCTGTGGCTCAGAGAATAGACTTTAAAACAGCTCTGCTTGTGTACAAGTCTCTCCATGGCCTCGCACCAAAATATATTTAGTGACATGTTAGTCCCATATGAACCAGCCCGGACTCTGAGGAGCACAGGGACTGGACTCCTGTTAGTGCCCAGAGTCAGAACTAAACATGGGGAGGCTGCTTTTCAGATTCATGCTGCTAAAATCTGGAACAGTCTTCCTGGAGATGTGAGACAGGCCTCCTCTCTGACAATGTTTAAAACCAGGTTAAAGACAGTTCTGTTTAGCTGTGCATACAACTGAGGGATTTTATATTTGTATCTTTCTTTTTAATGTTCTGTGATTATTTATGATTTTAATGCTTTCTTGTTTTGTTCAGCACTTTGAATTGCCTTGTGTATGAATTGTGCTATATAAATAAACTTGCCTTGCCTTGCCATTCATATAAAATGACACACGCAATCCTGTTTGGAAATCACTCCAGTGGCCGCTGTGCCACATGGGTGCGGGTATGGCCCTGGCCATAATAAGGCTAATAACCTTTAGCTAATTACTCTTTCTCCACATCTTAGCATCAGATCATAGAGTCACCGTGAGCTCATTAGGGGAGAGGGCGATGATATCCAATTAGGCTCCGGTCTCGTCTCAAAACATGTCACTGACCTAGTTTCCGTTCACCTGGTGTGCTCCCTGGATTCAAGTGAGACGTCATATATTCACCAAAAACACGATTTGTATGAATAGTGTAAAACAAGTACAAACAAACTGGTTTTAGTCTTTGGTCCCAGGCGGTAAAAAGAAATTTGCCACAATAATTAGTCGGTCCAGCCAAAATGGCCAATTTAAATGTGTGTCATCAGCAACTTAACCAAGTCATTTAATTCAAAGGATTCACTCAGTTGACCATCACACTTAATACATGGTCTTTGAGATCCTAAAAACTAATTACTTCAAAAGAACTTTATTTTAATGAAAATTAGGGACAAACTTTCAAAAAAAGAAAATTCAAACAGAAATAGTCTAAGATGTCTCTCTTTAAGCTAATTCTGGCATATTTACATGTATAATGTATTTTTATATTAATCAATTAATTAATAAAAATGGATGTCCAAAGAAAGAAGGAACATACAAAATAATTCATCAATCAACCATCATTTTTTATTGGAATCAAAATAATGGTTATGAACCACAGAAACCACCAACACTAGGAAAAACGATTTGATAAAAGAGAAATATGGGATTACTTAAGGGAAATTGTTCTTCTTTTCCGCATACATATGCGTTTAACCAATTGCTTTAATATTTAATTGTGCTTTTAATTACTTAATTTTCATGCAAATAAACTAATTAAAATATTACATGACCAAAACAGGTATCAGACACCAGTACAAGGTCTAGGAGAAATACAAAGGAGTATTGGTCATTTTAAGGACCCGATTGCCGCCATTTTGAAAATGGGGTCTTTTTTGGAGTCAAACTTTGGTAAACTTATGTTTTTAAGTACATCTGATACTACTGTAAACCACTGAGAAAGCTTTTGTTTGAATTTTTTTTGGGGTGAAGCCATATTTGCAGCTGACTATATCCATATCTTGATATTGACATGCTGCAGGAATTTGATGTGAATTATATATTTGTTTTTTCAATATTCCATGAATATGTTCCATGTACATTCAAACCTTTCAATATGCAAAATGTTTAACTTGAAACTTGTTAATACAATCTTAATATAATCATATATGAGGATCATATTTTTATTTCTGTTTAAGGGTATTTAAGAATTGCATTTCAAAGATGAGTGAACTTGATTTGTGATTTGTGATGAATACATGAATTTGATTTGTGACTAGTTAACTGCTGGAAATTTCATGGAGAACTTTTAAGTATGATCAGGTGCACTATAGTGAACCTAAAACCAGTAAAGTAGTGCCCAAGTAGCTGGAACAAAAATTGATATCTAGCCAACTATTTGGACTCAGCTGACGACCTACCTGTGCTCGGCCAAGTTTAGACGGGGACACTGCGAAGATGCTGCAAAGTAATTATCAAAAACGACCAGGCTCCTTATTTGAAGTGAACGGCTTCTAAACAATGACGGAAGACAATGTAGTTCTAGTGCCCGGCCAGTAGGGGAGGTGGAACTTTACAAGACGTTGCTTGCGACCCTCACCATTATAAGGAAAAAAGCAGAAACCTTAATAACACTCAAACCTAACTAATATTTCAGCAGTGGTCAGCTGTGGCTACCAAGTGCATTTGATGAAACTCACTCGCATAATAAACTTGACAGATTTTTTTTTATATATATATTTTTATTTTTTATCCCCCCCCATAATTATTCCATTTATTATAATTTTCAGTTCAACAAAGCTAAAAGCATATCTTAAAAATTGGCATTCTTAGGGTAAATGGCTTTGTTTGAGCCTTGTTTTTCCCAATTGATGAATATATTTTTGAGTCGTTAAGATGCCTTCCCCTCATTAAAAATTTTTTTTTTCAGTTCTTGAAAGCTCAAGGCATATCTTAAAAAATCTGTATTTTTCACGATACACCATACGACATTTGAATATGACATCATGCCATGTGATACTTAAATGGGCCTTGTTTTTCCCAATTTCATTTTCAAAGTTCAATTTTTTTAATTTTTATCTTTTGTCAATTTTCATGGTTTTTTTCATGCTTGTTGTTTTTTGTATTCATTTTGATTCTTGATCCCTGCCCTATTTGATTTTCTTCTTCTTCTTTTTTTTTTCAGTCATTTTTCTGTGGCCTCTATAAGGGAAGGTGCTCTCAGGCAGGAGTGATGTGCTTTTAGGATGCTGATCTGATGTATGCTCTCAGAGGACCAGGTGACACTCTGTTCTTCCTGATCCTGAACATCTTAAACACTCGAGAGAAGAAACGTCTTGGTCCTCGGCCTCTGTCCTCGTCAATGAAGTCTTCCAGCTGGAAATTCAGATGTCTCACCGCTGCATTGAGGAAATACTCGCTCCAGAGCAGGGGTGAGGTGAAGGGTCCCAGCTCTTCCCGGAGACTTCTAGTCGTCTCCTTAGCTATGGCTTTGAGGTCTTTGGTCTTCAAGTCTGTTCCTTGGGGCATGGAGACTCTTTGCTCCACCTCACGCAGTTGCAAAATAACTCTTCCTTGTTCCATAATGTCTAGGAACACGGGGGATTTGTTCAAAAAAATTTGGATCATCGTTGAGACCATGAAGTGAGCGGCATTGGAGCTGATGTCCTGTGTCTCTGGAGGGACGGCTCTCTCTATTGGACTGACAGTTTCTGAAGAAGTGCTAAAGTCCTGGAGGTTTTGGGGTTCTGGAGTAGAGGATACTTGGATGACCTCAGTTGGGTTATGGTCCTGCACCAGACTCACAAGGTCTAACGAAGAGATGGAGGCCAGGGAGAGGGAAGATCCACTGGACTGTCCTGCTCAGGAGAAGTAGGGGCCACAGCACAGGTCTGAACCAGATCCTCAGAGAAAAGATCCTCAAGGACAGGAACCTCTGGGATTGTCTCCACTTGGATTGTCTCCTCTTGGATTGTCTCTTCTGGGATTGTCTCCACTGGGATTGTCTCCTCTCTGATTGTCTCCACTTGGATTGTCTCCCTCTGAGATTGTCTCCTCTGGGATTGTCTCCACTTGGATTGTCTCCACTTGGATTGTCTCCTCTCTGATTGTCTCCACTTGGATTGTCTCTTCTGGGATTGTCTCCACTTGGATTGTCTCCTCTCTGATGGTCTCCACTTGGATTGTCTCCTCTCTGATTGTCTCCTCTGGGATTGTCTCCACTTGGATTGTCTCTTCTGGGATTGTCTCCACTTGGATTGTCTCCTCTCTGATTGTCTCCTCTGGGATTGTCTCTACTTGGATTGTCTCCACTTGGATTGTCTCCACTTGGATTGTCTCCTCTCTGATTGTCTCCTCTGGGATTGTCTCCACTTGGATTTTCTCCTCTGTGATTGTCCCCTCTGGGATTGTCTCCTCTGGGATTGTCTCCCATTGGATTGCCTCCTCTGGGATTGTCTCCTGTAGGATTGTCTCCACTTGTGATTGTCTCCTCAGGGACAAGATTCTTAGGACATTTATCTCTTTGATTGATTCCTCTATGATTGGCTTTTCTTTGATTGGCTCCTCAGAGACAGTCTCCTCTAAGAAGGGTTTCTCTGGGATGGGCTCCTGGAGGGCCGGTGGGGAACTCTCACTCTGGGATGTTTGTGTGTCTTTCTGAGCTGATGCGACGGTAGCTTTAAACGCCTGCCTGGCCTGGAGCTTCTCTGTCTCTCGCAGTTTGAAGACCCTCTGCTGGAAGAGGAGCTCCTCAGAGGGGGACAGCTGAGGGTTGTCCAGCTCCATCTGCTCTTTGAACCCCATCATGTGCAACATTGCCTCTGCTGCCTGTAGCTTGGCCGCCTTCTTGTTTGGACCCAGTCCCTGCGACATGTCCTCTGGTCCACTCTGACCTCGATGCAGAACTCTGATGCATGGTAGCCACGGTGTTGGATGCCGACCACCTTGTACTCAGCTGGCCTCTGCTTCCTCACCATCAGGATCTCTGCCAGGGCACTGATGGGGCCTTTCTTGTAGAAGAAGTAAACCCGCTGTGAGGGGTCCACCAGCTCCATGCGGGGTTTGGACCAGTAGGGAGTCACGTCCTCTGGCAAAGGACGCTTCCTCAGCTGATGCAACACCACCTTAGCTGCACTTAGCTTGGCCTTTTGTTTGGTGGTACCTGAACCATACCCCACCAGGTCCCCCACTGCCAGCTCTATGTGAAAGGTCTGTGCATGGCTCGGGCCCTGTTTATCCATCTCAGTGAACTGCAGCTGCAGCTGGTGCAGACATGCCAGTTCATGAAGGAGGGACAGGTCCGTCTTGTGAACTTCACTGGGGTGTTCACGGTGCATGTTGTCTGTGTTGTATTTGCTTTTGTGCTATAATGTGGTAAATTAATACTCTGTTGTAGGAAAGGATCGCTGTGTCTCTGTGGACATATGTTTTCTCAGCCTGTATTCAGCCTATCATTTGAACTTTGAAAGCCAACATTCTAGAATGAAAATACAAAGACAAGCTAGGTTGCCATGACAACACGGCAACCGTTGTCACGCATGCGCACAGAGCCAATAATGCAAAGTTGAGGAGTGACTTCTCTTTGAAAATGTCACAAATTCTCACATTGTAAACCGCTTTGTGAATCTGGTTTGTGAAAGGCATTATATAAATAAAGGCAATATATAAATAAAGATGACTGACTTACTTAAGATTACTTGCTCAAATCATTAAAGACAAAACAAGGACTAAAACAAGGATTTCTATCTTTACAATACAATTACAATACAATTTATTCTTGTATAGCCCTAAATCACAACAGAAGTCATCTCAGAGGACTTACAAAACCATTGAAATCACCAACACAGATCAGAAAATCAACAGTTAAAACACATGAAGAATATAGAAAAATGTTGATAAATGTCCATACATGTTGTAGAATGTTAAAGTGTCCTGGATCATCACCACAGTCCTTCTAGTTGGACACTAACTGCCCAACAGACCCTTCTGCATCGGCACTCTTTATTCAGATATTATGGTCCCAGCTGGATTCGTCTGCATATCTGGCAACCTGAGTCAGGGAGAGTGCAGTACCATTTTTGGCCAGATTTGTACATACCGCTTCTTTAAATTTGTGTTGGGGTTTTTCACACTTATGCATGTTAAGTTATAGAATCCTTTTGATGTGTTTGAATACTGAAGAAAGACAAACAATTGTAGATTTTTATGGAATAAAGCTTGAGTACCTAGCTGTAAAACCACAGGCAATATGTTATGTTCATGTGACATCACAACATTCCAAAGAGCACGAGCAGATTTTAGCGCGGACAAGAACGAGCAGAGTTTATTAGATAAACATGTGCATTTGTAGATAACTGACTTGTATCTATCGTTGTTTAGTTTGTAACTGTCGTGTTTTCATGTCTATATGTTTGGTTTGTGTTATTGAGGGTATTGTATGTAAATATTTTACCGTGTTATGTTTTATCTGATTGTGTTGTAATTTTATTCCCTTCAGGAGCACACATAACAACTGTCCAGGGACTACAGATGGAAAATAGCCCTTAGGCTAATTCTGGGATATTTACATGTATAATGTATATTTATATTATTAAATAAATGAATAAAAATGAATAAAAATGGATGTCCAAAGAATGAACGAACACACACAATAATTCAATCAACCTGTATTCTTTATTGGAATCAAATTAATGGTTATGAGCCACAGAAATCACCAACACTAGTAAAAACGATACGATAAAAGAGAAATATGCACTCTTAACCCGAATTAGTTGACTTTACTAGAATGGGGCTTGTAAACCCGTTGCCTCAAAATCTTTAGTTTTTACAGAAGCTAAAACTAAACTATCCTAGTTTTATGAAGGAAACCCCCTTAGTTGTAAGTATTAGTTCATTTAAATGTTTACCTAATTGAATAAAATAACCATCTTAAGCTTAATGGACGTGAACAATTAATTGAAACCTACTTATTACGTTTTATTCATCCTACTAACCCTATATGCCCGCGTGCATCGGCGCCTGTTTTACAAATGATCAATTTACTCGCGAACGGTAAAACGTAGCAACTTACTTTTTTTCCTCTGTGAAGTACGTATTCAGGGCTTTCCGAAACTAGTTTTGATTTGTCTGTGCGATGCACGGAGGATAAACAACGTTTGTCTGAAAGTCCGTGTCCAAAGCGTGACCCGTGAGGTACAAACAGCTGTGAGATACAAACACACGGGGACTGCCAAAGATCGTCAGAGAGTAAGATCTCTCACTCCTCTGCGTTTACTTGTTGTCCCACAGTTGAAACTACAGCTGCGATTGCAATAACCGGCTGAAGAGTGCGCATTTTTGATAAAGGCGATAATAAATACAGTAAAATTACATTATGTGTATATGATGTATATAAATATATGTATTATATAAATAATTTATGTTTTTTTTTTTTTTTGGCTCAGTTTCTTATGTTTTACGTTTTTTACAGCTGTACTACAGAAGCAACCCCAGCATTATAGACAAACTGCTTCAGGAAGGGCATCAGGAGTACAGAGTTTTTAGCTTTTATAGTGGAATTTTGTAAAAAGTACAATAGTTAGAGATTTAATTTTATTCCCCATTATTCCCAAGACCATAAATAACATTTCTATGCAGTGTAAAAAGTTGTTTATAGCATTTCATTGTGTTTTTTCAATAAATTTTTGTTAAATTGATTTTCCGTTTGATTTTTTTCTTTGTCTTCAGGATTCCATAATTTTTATATAATTCATATGACAGCTTTACAATATGAATATTCTAAAACCCCAGGTTGTACTGAAAAAAACAAAGTATACTGCTTGACTCTGCATCAAAAGATGACTGTTTTATGAACATTTATACACAAAGAAAACCAGGCGAGGAAAGTTCCCCAAAATGACCCATGTGCATGGAGGGGTTTTTGTTCATCCTACTGATACATTTGTGTTCATACTTCTAACATATTTTGATTCATTTCTTTGAACTCAACACTAAATTACACAAAAGAGAAAAAATCAAGAAGAAGATCCTTTAATCTTTCATATAACGAAAACAATGCAAGACCTCTTCTCTATGAATTTCAACAATGGAACAAATGTGTAAAACAACGTGTAAAACATTTGGCATTTCAAGTGCTACAGAAAAACAGGACAGAGGAAGTTATAGCAAAACAGGCAAAATAGCTTATAGGCCTGGCTATATTCTTTTCACTCTGCGGGGCATGATCTCCCGTTTTGAGAGCAGGCTACAATAACACTCAAACCTAACTAATATTTCAGCAGTGGTCAGCTGTGGCTACCAAGTGCATTTGATGAAACTCACCACATTAAATAAACTTGACACATTTGTTTTTAATTTTTATATATATTTTTATTTTGTATTCCCCCCCCCATTCCATTTGTTATTATTTTCAGTTCTTCAAAGCTAAAGGCATATCTTAAAAATCAGCATTCTTAAGGTATGCTAAATGGCTTTGTTTGAGCCTTGTTTTTCCCAATTGGTGAATACATTTTTGAGTCAATAAGATGCCTTCCCCTCATTCCAATTTTTTTTTTTCCAGTTCTTCAAAGCTCAAGGCATATCTT